ATCCTCGGCATCTGAAGCCATTGGTGGGGAATCCATCGCATTCGCCCCGGGCCACCCAAACCCAGCCGCCGTCACCATAAACCAACATCAAGTCGAAGATACCAACTGCCGGCTGCTGGCCTCCCCCTCTGCGAGGCAACTAGCGCTGGCACCGTTCCAACGACGTCCACGCCACCTCTGCGCCCCGTGAGGGCGACAGACAAATCACTCAGAGGCGCACCCCAAAACACATACACATACACACACACAGGCATCACAGTTGTCCCTCACTGTGTCCGCGGCCTCGCTTCCCATTTGGAAAGCCAGTGCAACGCACAGCCACGAGGTTGGCACCGTGTGTGTGCATGTGGCAGCCGCAATCATGAAGGGGAAGAAAGTGTTATCCATGAAAATGCGCATGGAGTAGTAGAGAAAAAAATAAGAAAAAAAAAGACGCTCCTCTGATCACAAAAGGAGCGTTGGCCGACAGGGCGACAAGCAGGATTGGTGAACAAAGAGTATGTGTCGTCCCTCCCAGGCTGGGTGTGCTTCCGCCTAATTATCACCCAGCAGCAGCGGTAGAAGCAGTTGTGCGCGCACAAACGGGCTGATGGTTGCGCTGCGCTCCACGTCGGTCAGAGCGTCGTTCCCAGTGTCGTTGTCCTTGATAGCTGTGTTATTTGTTGACGCTTGAGTGATGGCAACAGGCCGTGCAGTACAATTTTCATTCGGTGCAGTGATGGCGATGTAATGCGTGGCCTCCGTGAATGGTTGGAGGCCGGCAATGGTCTCGTTGGTAATAATAAGCTACGAGGGTTCTTTCAAGTTGCTGTTGTGTTTAGTTGGCGCTTGACTTTCGGCATCACTTCCCTGTTCATTGCCTTCTGTATTACTTCGGTCCATGACACCATTAGCTTGGCCCTCTGTCAAATCACCTCCCGCCTGTGTCTGTGCATTAGGTTTGGTTGGAGTATCGTTGGTGCCCACGCCCGATGCAGACTGGTGTTTATTGTTAACGTCCTTTACAGAGTGCCCGTGAACATCCGGCGGGTCTGTGCCTTTAGGTGCGGGGCCAGCGGACTGAGTGTTAGTGGCCGCAGGCTTCTAAACTGCAGGAGCTTTCTTTGCCGTATTCTGCGCCTTTCGCGCACCCTTCCGAGCTGCGCTGCATATGCGACTGTCGCTCTTTTGCACTCTTCTTGGACTTAACGTCACCTCCGTTTGTCATAAGCGGTGCACCTTTGAAGCCAACTGCCCCTTCTGGCTGGTGTCTACCACTCCTTTCTGTTAGGCTGTCTGCTTTAGGTTCCGGTGGTGTTACTGGATCAGCCCCTAGAACGGTGCATCCAGCTTTCGTGTCATTCATGGCTGTGAACTCACAAACGATTGACGCTACTGAAGAGGAAACGCCAGTAGTATTTGCTTCCACCCACTTTTTATAAACTTGACTTTCTCCGTATGTCGTAACCTCCATCCTGAACCCAACAGCATTACTTTTGTCAGCGGCAGCATACGCATCTGTGCAATCCAAACAACTGTACAGCCACACATCATCATCAGACGTATCGTTCGCCTTCACAGACCTTTCCCAATTATTCATCTCCAAAAAGCGGCCATGTAACTTTCCTTCAATCGGCTCACAAGCCACCTCCACCTTCAACCATACTTTTTGCACAGCTTCAGCAGGAGAAACTTTTACCGTCTTCGCCCACACGGAGGAGAAGCAGCTATACAGCAGCGTAGGGACTGCCATGGCGCGTACTGTCGCCATCGCCATCCGTCGTGGTATTAGTGGTGGCGGTAGCAGCAGAGTCGATGGGGTAGTGGGCTAATTCGCGAGACAGAGGGGAGAAAACAATAAGAGAGAATAGTTAGCACAAAAGAGAGCAGATACAATGAAGACAGCAGTTCATCGAGTTCACACAGCAAAAGACCACACACCCGCACACATACATATATATATATACAAAACACAAAATAAAAAAGGAATGAAATGTTTTCTAGCCGAGCGTAGATACCATTTGCCGAACTCTTCTTTACTCCGCTTATTTCCTCCTTAATTTCCTTTTTTGTTTTTGTTTTCGTTTGTAGTCTTCTGCTTGCTGGATTATCCTGCTCACAGAAGGGGTGTTACGCACGAGCAATCAAACTCCACCGCGTTACGGCTGCCTCTATTCTTCGACGTCATATTTATTTCTGCCAGCATATTTTTTTCTTTCTTTCCGTTTTCACTGCAATCCCCTCTTACCTATGGCAGGGGTGTGGGCTTCGTTTACTCCTCCCGCCAACACACATGCACAGAGTGAGAGCGTATTGATACACCAAAAAACAAAAAAGAGAATCATTGTGGCAGGTGACAGTTCTATGTGCGTTACAACGGTGCATATAAAATGAATGCGGAGAAACAACAAGCGGCGAGCACACACAGATATATGTACACATACATGTAGTTATTTATTTTTCATAGCATTCACTCCTTAGCTTTCACTCACTTTGCCTGGCTCCTTGTTTTCCATGTCTATCTTCTTTTTATTTTTCCCTTCCCGTTTCTACGGAAAACTCACTTTTTGTTTTTGTTTTTTGTATATCTCTTTCTAACAACTTCAGTAATTATTTTTTGTTTTGTTTTTTGGTACTGCATGCATGTATATATGTGCTTGTGCGTGTATATGTATGCGTGAGTTTGACGGAAAGAGAGGGGAGGGGGAGAGACATATTTTTGCCGTTGTTGTTTTTGCATCTTTTCCATCATGGAGACGTCTCCTCGCTTGCAGAATATACATGACGAGAGGAAAACGCAACAAAATAAAACATGCAACGATGCAGACCTCTATGCTGCCTTGTGTCTGGTAACACAAGGGCGTATTCTTGCGTGAGTTTTTTTTTCTTGTTGTTGTTGTTGGCAGCGACCTTCCGGGTGGACCACACGCCACCTCATGATGCGGCGTTGATGCGCTCCATCCAAATGCGGCAGCGAAACTTTGAAAACATCGCCTGCAGCAGCGAGCGAAAGTCCACACGCTCGTCGGTTTCATACAAAAAGGTGAGTTTCTGCCGATCAAACTGAAAGGCGGCGTCCGAGATGTGAATGATGAGGCCAAGTTCCTCGCAGGCTGCACGGCACTCTGCCACAGCCTCCTCCTCCTTCGCCATGAGATTTCCTTTCCACTCTTCCACTTCCTCCGGTGTCGCGCGACGCACAACCTGCGCCACAGACCCACGGCCACCATCCTTTGCCCCGGAACCCCCAACAGCGGCATCTGCGTCAGCCACAGTGGTAGAGGACTCCTCCATTGAATCTTCACACTGAATAACTTGCCCCAAATCAACGCCACGGTCAGCCTCAAAAATGACGTGGTCGCCAACATGAAATTCCATACACGAAAACGCCGTGCTTTTGTGATTGCCATGACATTGTAATTGCAGGCTGTACCTTCTGTTATTCTTCATCGACGCCATTTTCTCCTGTGATGCAAGGGACACCACACCTGAACGATTGGTGGCCTTGTTATTGACATTGGTGTTGCGACGCTGTGAAGGCAGCTGGGAATCATTCTTGGATTTCCCACGGCGTTTTTCTTTATGGTGGCGTTGTGTGGAAGGATCCACAAGCCCGGAGTCAGATGTCGGCTGCGCCTTACTGTCATGAGACACGTCTTCCCTACTCTGTGTCATGTCAGTATCAGCTGTGCAAAGCGGCTTTTCAATCTCTTCTTGGTAGTCTGGTTTGGGCACCTGGTTCTTCGTTTTATTGTGCTCAGCAAACGCGGATTCCAGCTCAGTGGCAAGGGAACTGGATCCACCAAGCATAGTCACTGCATTTAAATTCCTTGAAATTCGATGAGAAATAATCCCCGCTTGGACAGCAGAGCACGCTGTAGTGGAAGAAGGCGTTACTTGAATCACACTGCGGCCCGCTGTCGCGGGTGACAGTGTCATTCCCATCGCAGAAGATGGAGTTTTCATGCCAAATGATATATGCAGAGATTGTTTTTGCTGCATTGGTGTATTCATTGCGAAGTAAGGATGTTGCACATGGCTTTCCGTCACCCTTTGATCTTCGTTTGTATCTTGCCCTTGTACGGGATGCATGTGTACGTGCGTCTTCTTCTCTCCCTCAACCTCCTCCTCCGTGTGCTCGACAGGGTTGTTTCCAAATGTACCTGCAGTATCACTGTTCAGTGAAAAAAACGGTGTCATTCCACCATTATTCGTTGTCATATCCACAAATTGCTGAAGACGCGGTGTTGTACTGGGGCCGTACACAGGCACCGAAGCCGGCTGGTGAGGGCCTGCACCCCAGCACAGCATGCGCTCAACACGCCTTTGAAGATGACCCTCCCCAGAGGCCAAGAAAAAATTCAACGCACCTGAGGTGAGGCCGTGTGGCAACCCCTGTTCATTAAGCCCACCCTGGCCCTGACGCATCTCCCTCCCCCCCCACCTTTGAGCTCGCAGTCCCTTTTGCTAGTTCACAGGTTCCTCTTTCCTTAATCGAACCCACCCCCAAAAAGGTGTTGGTTAGAAGCCACCAGTCGCTGCTTCCCTTCCTTTGCTTCTCGCCTCTCTGCCGTTTCGGTGTCTTGTGATCTCCACTTGCTGGTGTGGAGGGTTTGTGGTTTTACTGCTTACGCGTGTGGTCTGCTCCTGACACAAAAAGATTTAAGAACAAGAAAAATTTATGAATTAAAAAAAAAAGTAGGCAAACAAGAAATAAATAAATAAAAATTCAGCTATGTTGAGTGAAAAGCTGCGGGGAAAAAGAGAGAAAAAATCACTTTGCATCCGTCGATCCCTTAACATCAAGGCTATGATGTGTCACTGAGCAGAAAGAAGATGTGTCGCGCCCCGCACGCTTATTTTTGCAAGCGCAAATTATGTCCATGCGCAAGTCATTGCAGACCCGCAACGGCAAAACAGGACATGAGACAACGAAGAAGTGGAGAACAGAGAGACAGACCACATCACCCCTCCTCCCTCTCTCTCTTTATATATATATATATATAATCCATGTGCCTCGTTCCCTCTTCATGTAAACACCGTGTCACCCTCTACAGCCTGACATTTGTTCGCGTGGCTGCCTAAATTGATCGAAGATTTATATTTTCCATTTACCCTTGCCTTGCTTTAACGCATCGCTTTTTTAAAATTCTTTGTTATCCGACTTTTTTTTTCGGTTGTGAGAGCGAAGAGGGATCACACTTCTCTTTGTCTTGGCATCGACACCCCCGGGCCATCCGCTTTACGCTGTTACACATGTAGGGAGAAGGCCGTGGAATATACACACACACAAAAGACACAAAGACGGCTATCGCAAGTCATCTTCATTTGTTCAATTCCTCAGTGCGCGCTTTCTTACGCTGCGGCTTCCCCTCTTGTGCAAAGACGAGAGGTTTCGATAACACAGCAGCGATGCCATCTGAAATAGGTGGAGGTCGCACGTCATCCGGTACAACCAATGGTTCTGCTGGGGGAAGCCCACATAGCACCGTCACACGCCGCTCAGAGACAGCCACGGTGGCCGAGAAGCGCGCCGTGATGTGGCGTTCGCCTTTGATCCTCAATGCCGGCAGAGAGTCAATGACATTCTGCTTTTGCAACATCGCAACGGCCATTCGGGCCTTCAGAGGGCTATCCAGGTGTTTGAGGCTAAACGGAAAACATTGGTGCTTCTCTGTGATTTCTTGTAGCGAGGCGTGGACGGAGCGCACACGAGCGTCATTCTGAAATTCCACTTCAGTGCGGCGGTAAATGCTTGCCTTCCCCTCAGCAGGTGCCACCTTGTACGAGGAATGATCCGTGAAGGCTACATCAAGTGTCCATACTTGATTTGCGCCTATATTGCAATCTGCAACGTCCTGGTGAGGATCCTCCAGCGTTACACGTCGCGTAATGATGCATTCCATGCCGTCTGGAACCCATCTTTTTGTACGGTTTGAGAGTACACCTTCTACTCCTTGAACTTCAAAATGATTTCCCACGCTGTGTATGAAGTCTGTGATGTCAGCATTCAGCATCCCTGGTTGCATGAGATGAATCATCCCGTGCAAAGCTATACGCGCCGCCTCCACCGCGTTGATTGCCTCTTGAGTGAGCTGTCGCATCTGCGCACGTGCAGCGGTAGCTCCTCCGGAAATTTCGGAGGAAGTTGTGGCTGTGGCATCACATGGAACAAGAACCGTACGTGCCGCAGTGACTGGGTAACCGTCGATGTGGCACCCCATATGAATCTTCACCACATCTCCGCCGCGGAGCACAAGGGCCTCCTCCTCCACCAACGGTGCATGATTGCAGAGGATTTGATTCACTGAGACGTTGGTTGGATAGGAGAGGCCGCGAAGAATGCGGTTACCGTCAGCGTCCTTCGCCTTGGAGAACATCGCTTGCACCCGTCGCAGCAGTTCTTCATCGCCAAGGTCACACAGATGTTTCGTGGTTGCCCCTGGCACGCACGCAGCCGCCAGAATGTCCATTACCTCGTCAAGGGCACGGCCGGCAGACTTGTACTTTGTCATCACGTCTGGCTTCACAATTGTTTCTGACACCCGCTCCGCCGGCTCCAACTCACCCTCAAGCTCCTTCTCCATGGAGGCGACTTTTTGACGAATCGTGGAGGCAGAGCGCATCCGTGCACTGCCGCCCCGCTGCTGCGTTGGTGCCCGCTTTGCCGAATCTTTGTGTCTCACATCACCCATGGGGGTTTGGACTTCCAATTTTCGAACAGCAGAGTGTTTCAGAGGTGCCGTGCTGGGTGGCTGCATTGACTCTTTCAACTGATGCAGCGAGAGCGACCGCTGACGCTTCATGCAAAGTGTCGGCCGCGCACTCTTGCTGCGGCTGTTGCTGTACCCACGTCCCATGTGAGAGTTTCAAACTCCGCACACACACACAGACACACACGGATCAGCGAAAATGGAAAGACGCCTAATCAACACAACCTCGGAAAAAATTAAAAGTTCTTCCTTTTTATTGCCAAGTAAAAAATTAAAAAGACGACATTTTTTTTAAAAAAAATAAAGGCAGGCATGCAATAAGTAGAAAGAAAAGCATATGCTTCTTGTTGTCTGCAGAGAAGCCCACATTGATGCACCCACCTCTGACTCTCTGCCTCTCGCTCGCTCTATGTACAAAAAAAAAGGAGATATAGGGAAATATTGTAGCAAAACACAGGGGATGGGAAAGATACGATTATGCCCCCAAAGGAAGAGATACTTTTCTTCATCTTTTATCTTCTTCATTACTGTCAGTTGGTGGGTTTAGTGTGTTTCCTCCTCCTTCCACTCAATCCCCACTTCCGCCCCTCTTTTTTTATCATTTTTTTTTTACCCCGTCTCATGCTGCGGATTTTTTAAACTTTCCTTGTTGTGCGTACTCCCACATTCGGTGTTGCTGTTCCTTTTTGTTCGTTAGTTATATCCTCCTCCGCATCCTAATTCTTCGGCCGACGTTTACGGGAAGATCGCAATGCTTTGAATCGCCGACGCAGTGTTCGGCGCCGCGTGTCGTCGACCTCACCCTCGTCGGCATAGTCTCTCTCATTATGGTCGTCGTCTCCCTCCTCCAGCTCCTCCTCCTCGTACCCCTCGTCTTCCTCGCGGTGACGCTCCCGGCGGGCCGGACGTTGGCGACGCCTCAGTTCGTCCAGTTCGCGCTGCAACTCTCTCAAACGTTCCTCGTCCTTGGCAGAGGGCTGCTTTTGTGCCTCGTTTTGCTGAGTCTGCTGTTGTTGAGTCTGCTGCTGTTGTTGAGTCTGCTGCTGTTGTTGAGGCTGCTGCTGTTGTTGAGGCTGCTGCTGTTGTTGAGGCTGCTGCTGTTGTTGAGGCTGCTGCTGTTGCTGAGGCTGTTGCTGTTGTTGAGGCTGTTGCTGTTGCTGTTGCTGAGGCTGTTGCTGTTGCCGAGGCTGCTGCTGTTGCCGAGGCTGCTGTTGTTGCTGTTGTTGAGGCTGCTGTTGTTGCTGTTGCTGAGTCTGCTGCTGCTGTTGTTGCTGAGGTTGTTGCTGTTGCTGAGGCTGAGGTTGTTGCTGTTGCTGAGGCTGTTGTTGCTGAGCCTGAATATCCTGTTCTTGTTGCTGTTGCTGCTGCTGCTCAAGATGTCCTTGTAGTCGTTCACGAAGATTTTCTGTACGTGGTGTTAGCATGTCCCTTTCGGACTCCACTATGGGTGTCGTTCTGGCGTACACGTCGTGGTCATATGTTACACCCTCAAGTGGCATTGTGTGAAGAAAGATGATGTCGTGATTGTCCGTGACGTCGCCTGTCTCGGCGCTCAGCCCAATGTAGTACTCATTCTTATCCATCTTAAGGTGAAGGTCGGAT